AGAAGGGCTAAAAGGACCTGTGAATCTCAGAAGAACATCATACCAAAATGTAGAAGATAGAATTCACAGGCTTGGAAGGGACCTTGAAGGTCATCTAGTCCAACCCCTGGTCGAGCAGGACACCTTATAAATGAACTGAAAACTTTCTGTTTCCTAACTTCACAGCTGCAATGATTCCTTTAACAACTCTGGTGAGAAAAGTCGTAAAAGGGGGCAAAACTCACTTAACAACTGTCTTGCTTAACGGTGGAAATTTGGGGCTCGGTTGCGGTCGTAAGGCGAGGACTAACCTATATTCTCGGAATTGGAATAGAATAGAATAATAGAGTTGGAAAGGACCTTGGAGGTCTTCTAGTCCAACCCCCTGCCCAGGCAGGAAACCCTACACCACTTCAGACAAATGGTTATCCAACCTCTTCTTTAAAATTTCCAGTGTTGGAGCATTCGCAATTTCTGGTGGCAAGTTGTTCCACGGATTAATTGTTCTAACTGTCAGGGAATTTCTCCTTTTGTTGGGTGTTCTTTCACTGGAAGTTTTCCAAAATAGACCAAACAACCATTTGACCGGGATGGTATTGACTAGGGGTTGGACTAGAAGACCTCTGAGGGTCTCTTCCAGCCCTATGTTCTATGATGCTCAGCACCCCACCTGGGAGAGAAGGAAAATTGGAGGAGGACATCGAGAAGAAACCTTCTACCAGGTTGGTAAACGAGCATCCTTCTTACCTCGGTTACAATGGTGGACGTGAACACCGTCCCTTCGTAGGTCCACCCATCCAGACACGGCTCCTGCTCGGCCTCCGTGGGCTCCCGTCCCGTGGAATTCAACTCCAACAGCTGCCATTGGGGGGTGACAAAACGCCAACACTTCTCCGGCCGCCAGGCCCCATCCTGGGGGACGAACGCCCTCAGCAGCGCCTGACAATCCGCGTTTCCCGTGGCATTCCCGCCGGCGCACGCCTTGCTCGAGGCCACTCGGCAGTGATGGCCGGGAACCGCAGCTGTGAAATTCTGCAACAGGTTGTGAGCTGCCATCAGGAGCATCGGAAAACACAACAGCACCACATTGAGCACCTGAAAGCGTCCCATGCCACCCGCTTGATCCAGAAGTTCGGCAAACGGCATGGCGGGCTTGTGGCGGGATGGCACACGGCGTAGACGCGAGCTCGGGAAAACACCGCACCGACGACGGAGGGACTCTGTTGACAGCAAAGTTGGCTTACCGATGGGGAGATGGCCCGTCTTTTTGGCTACTTTGCAGGACTTGAACGAAGACGGAGCGAAGGGAGGATGTGGCGGAGAAGATCCAGTGGGTTACGCAATGCCAACTGGACTCCCGGCGTGGCCATCTGCTCCGGCGTTGAAATGCAAACTGGTCGCGGGAGAAAACTTCCCTCGTTTCTCCTGCTGTGGCTGGGCAAACAGATTCAGCTGTGCCTTGTACTTTTGTTGTGTTTTGATTTCGCTCCCAATTCTTTTCCTGCCCCTCTAGGAAGGAACGGGGCAGGAGTTTTGCCTCGTGGTGAAGTTTGCCCGGGGTTCACTTTGTTGTTAGTTTCGGGTTGGGATCAGCAACTCCTGCAGAATTAAGCTAGCCTTTAGCTGCTTTTGTTGGGTTGGGAAGGATGAAAAAGAAGGATTTATTTCTCGGGAATGTAGGTAAGATAGCAACGGCGGGGTCAGTCCGGGCCAATTCGAAGAAATAAAAATATTTCCCCCCCCCCTTTTTAAGTCGTTGGCATTCAGGGCTCAGTGCCAGCTGCCAAGAAAGCAAATCCAGGTATTTTTCTCTCCTTAGGCCCAAAATTTCCATTGTTTAGCAAATTCGATGAGTTTTTGTCCAGTGGTGGATTGCTACCGGTTCACACCGGTTCAGGCGAATCGATTAAAGCAGTGGTGAGAGGCTCCGCCTACCCGCCCAGACGTCATTAAATACGCTCTGCAGACAGGTAGCAAACCCACCACTGATTTTGTCCCATTTTTGCTATTGTTGTTAAGCGAAACACATCTGTTGTTAAGTGAATGATGTGGTCATTAAGCAGATCTGGCTTACACACACACACACACACACACACACACCCATTGTCTTTGCTTGTGGGAAGCCATTTGGGAAGGTTGCCAGGGGGTGATCACATGACACACACCCCCGGGAACTGCACCCGTCATAAATATGAGTCAGTTGCCAAATCCTTGAATTTTGATCATGGGGACCACGGGGAGGCTATGACGTAAGTATGAAAAATGGTCCTAAGTCACTTTTTTACAGTTCTTGTTGTAACTTCCAACAGTCACTAAACGAATGATCGTAAGTCAAGGATTTACGGGCAAAGTGGGCAAAGAAGAAAGTTGAAAAGGATGGGCCTCAAATCCCTCTGATATCAAGCTACGATATCTGTTATCGGAGGTTGGACGTGGTTCTCTGGAAGTTGTGAAACTAGAACTCCCAGCACCCTCACCTACCCAAAAAACCCCTCCTGATTTAGTACCTTTGCATCAATTTAGCCTGGAGGTGGGGAGAGCCAATGACAGGAAAGATTTTTTTGGGGCTGTGTTCACACGACCAACTGATCTGAATTAAAATGCAGTTGAGAAGTTTGTGGGTTGTGTTGTGGTAGAAAATCTAATTCTTCTGGCTTCTTCTGGGAACCAACCAAGCCTTCCCATTAAGCTAGAAAAGAACATGGCTTATGGGTTGGGCTGAACGTGTTCGGGAGACCTCGGTCAATGTAACTGGGTTTGCTAGTGATGGAATCCGGCTTTATTGAATTGTGGGAATCCTCTGTTTGAGGCCTTGGTAAAGCAGGAGCTGGTTGGACGGCAGAAAATTCAAAAGCTATTCTCCAAATTAAAACTTTGAGAAAAACAATTGGATTTGGCTAGAAACCAGGTGACTGTGAGTTCTAGTCCCGCTTTAGGCATGAAAGCTGGCTGGGTGACTTTGGGCCAATCACCAGGAGACAGGGAGTTCTAGTCCTACCTCAGGCACGAAAGTTAGCTGGGTGACTTTGGACCAATCACCAGGTGACTGTGAGTTCTAGTCCACCTTTGGCATGAAATCCAGCTGGATGACTTTGATCAATCGCCATGAGACAGGGAGTTCTAATCCTACCTCAGGCATGAAAGTTAGCTGGGTGACTTTGGACCAATCACCAGGTGACTGTGAGTTCTAGTCTACTTTTGGCATGAAATCCAGCTGGATGACATTGATCAATCACCAGGACACAGGGAGTTCTAGTCCTGCCTCAAGCATGAAAGTTAGCTGGGTGACTTTGACCGATCACCAGGTGACTGTGAATTCTAGTCCACTTTAGGCATGAAATCCAGCTGGATGACTTTGATCACTCGCTGGGGGACAGGGAGTTCTAGTCCTACTTCAAGCATGAAAGTTAGCTGGATGACTCTGGACCAATCACCAGGAGATGGTGAGTTCTAGTCCACCTTAGGCATGAAATCCAGCTGGATGACATTGATCAATCACCAGGACACAGGGAGTTCTAGTCCTGTCTCAGGCACAAAAGCCAGCTAGGTGACTTTGGGCCAATCACCAGGTGACTGTGAGTTCTAGTCCACTTTAGGCATGAAATCCAGCTGGATGACATTGATCACTCGCTGGGGGACAGGGAGTTCTAGTCCTACTTCAAGCATGAAAGTTAGCTGGATGACTCTGGACCAATCACCAGGAGATGGTGAGTTCTAGTCCACCTCAGGCATGAAAATTAGCTGGGTGATTTTGGACTAATCACCAGGTGACTGTGAGTTGTAGTCCACTTTAGGCATGAAATCCAGCTGGATGACATTGATCAATCGCCGGGAGACAGTGAGTTCTAGTCCCACCTTAGGCACGAAAGCCAACCCGATGACTTTTGGCCAATCACGCAGCCCATGCACGTTGCGGGAAAAGAGGAGGCGGAAGTAGTATTGTGTATGTTGTCTCCTTGAGTTATTTATAAAAATGATAACGGTGGGATATGAATGAATGAATGAATGAATGAAGTTTGATGTAAACTACATATTTTGGGGTGTGCTTTGTTTTCAAAATCCCGATCAATTTGAACCTAAGACAATGATGAACAGCCAGCTCAGCCATTCAGTTCCATGCAAAAATTTCACCACCTGAATCAAAACGACGATTGCAACTGAGCCGACGATTAGAAGTGGGACAGGGCTGATCTCCCCCCTTCCCCCCAATTGAAATGGCTTAGCAAGATCTTGGCAAGCTTAGTTTAACGGTGATTAGAATCAACGTTTCCCAAACTGTTATTCGCTGTTATATAATTCTCTTGTTTGTGCAGCGAGCGCCAAGCTCAGTCTGTGGCCGGCCCAATTAAAAAGAAAAATCTTTTTTTAAAAAAAAAATAATAATAATCTCCCTTGTAATTTGGAATCGTTAAATCGGCTGTTTCTGGAATCGCCACTAACAACAGCAAAGTCAAAGGCAGAATCACAGATCCGGAAGAGACCTTGGGAGGTCTTCTAGTCCAACCCCTCACCCGAGCAGGGGACTTTAATCACCATCCTGGTGAAATGGTTGTCCAGTCTATTTTTGAAAACCTCCAATGTTGGAGCACCCACAACTTCTGGTGGCAAGCAGTTCCACTGATTAATTGTTCTAACTGTCAGGAAATTTCTCCTTAGTTCTAAGTTGCTTCTCTCCTTGATTAGTTTCCACCCATTGCTTCTTGTCCTGCCCTCAGGGGATTTGGAGAATAGCTTGACTCCCTCTTCTTTGGGGCAGCCCCTCAAATATTGGAAGACTGCTATCATGTCTCCCTTCGTCCTTCTCTTCATTAAACTAGACATACCCAGTTCCTGCAACCGTTCTTTATATGTTTTATTCTCCCGTCCTCTAATCCTCTTTCTTGTTCTTCTCTTCACTCTTTTCCGTCTCCACATCTTTTTTACATCACAGCGACCAAAACAAATTGAATAAGCAATATCTGGGACCATTTCAAACGGAACAGGAGTCAGAATGTAAGAACAACAACATTTGGAGTCTCGTACACATTGAGGACTAGTAAATTTATTAAGGCACCCTGTGCCTGAAATGTCAGCAAATCTTCACAAATACAGACACAGAGAGAATATTGTAAACGTGGTGCCCAGTGGCAGAATATAAGTGCAAAAAAAGAGAAAAAAAGTACAGGTTACTGCTTTCCTACATATGCAAAATTCAAAAGCAGAATATAAGTGCAAACAATACAATAAATTATAGACTGTGGTTGTTGTATATATGGAAAATTCAAAGGTAGGCATCACAAACGCTGTGCCCATTGTTGGCAGGCTCCCTAACTGCGTTTTGCTGATCTTTTTTTTTTTTAAATATATAATGTTTATTATATTTTGAAAGAGAAGGATAAAAACTACCGTATTACAAACTGATATAAAATAAGGAAGAAAAATAGAAAAGAAAGAAAGAGGAAAAGCATGAGAAAGGAAAAAAAAGGTAAAAGAAGAACAGAAAAGAAAAAAAAATCAGAAAGCTGAGCGTGCAAGAAAGAAAAACGGAAAAGAAAAATCAAAGAGAAAACTGAAACGGCAAAAAAAAAAAAAAGGAAAAACGGTAAAAGCAAAACGGAGAAGAAAGAACTCAAAAGAGGAAGCTGAAAGCGCAAAAAAGGAAGAGGAAAAATAGAAGAGAAATTTAAAAAGCTATAAATATTCTTCACAGCCATTCCGATAATTCTTCGTAGCAGTTATAAATACAATTATAAATTGACCTCTCTAAAGCTGCATCCTGATTTTCTTCTTTTTATAATCTATCCTGTCTAAGCCTCAAAGCCCATAAATCACACATTCATTTATTTTTTTTCCATTTTCATGCAAAAAAAAAAAAAAAAACCCTCCCTAAAGGGTTTCCAGTCATCAATTGTGCATCACTGATCAAACCCCCCTTGTCTTCTTTCAGGCCAACCCAAATACGCAGGTCGGTTGGATTCACACAAACCCTAGACTGGGTCAATGAAAAAAACCCCAACCCATCTCTTCCATTGCTCGAAGCGCTCCTCTCGGCTAGTCGTCGAACAAACCTTGTTCGTCTGCTTCGATTTCGGGGGGGAATCGTTCAAACCCATCGTGTTTGGTCCATTTACAATTCGCTGGGATTGTGTGAATCCGTAACCAAGTGTATTTACTGTGCACTCAGCCGTTTTGTAATGCTGGCTAGGACACACAGAAAAAGGGGAGGGGGGGAAGAGGAGGAAAAGTGACTCTCGTTGTAAACACGACCAGCAAAATTTTCTCGTCTGGGTTTACATGTTTATGCTCTAGGACACAGTGTGAAACTGATCCTTGCTATGCCGCAAACCAAGTTATATCACGGGGGAAGTCCTATCGCTGCACGCACGCCCGATTTCTGCACCCGCAATCCAGAATTTTCAAATTTTCACTGTTTATATATATATATTCTATATTCTATCAAGACACTTGGTCTACCCCAATATGTGGGAGGGAGCATCCTGCTTCCCTTTCGCCTTTCAGCTCCAATCCAGGGGCCCTCAAGCAGTCGCATTCACGACAAACCATTTTATACCAAATTTGGTGATGAAGGAAGGAGAACTTGTGGCTCAGAAGGTTAATTCAACTGCCTAACATGCAGGCAGCCCAAGTTTGAATCCAAGTAAGGGTATGGCTAGCTGACAAGAGCTAAATAGCTTGAAATAGATCTATACTAGTCTCCCTTTATTTCTTTATCAGCAAACTATAAATTTGGTATAAAAATGGTTTGTCGTGAATGTGACTGCTTGAGGGCCCCTGGATTGGAGCTGAAAGGCGAAAGGGACGCAGTATGCTCCCTCCCAAATATTGGGGTAGACCAGGTGCCTCGATAGAAAAACACTTCATCTCTCCCCTGGCTCAATTGATGAAGGGAGGAGAACTTGTGGCTCAGAGGTTAATACAACTGCCTAACATGCAGGCAGCCCAAGTTCGAATCCAAGTAAGGGTATGGCTAGCTGATGAGAGCTAAATAGCTTGAAATAGAGCTATACTAGTCTCCCTTTATTTCTTTATCAGCGAAATATAAATTCGGTGTGTATCTATATATATAAAAAACGGGTCTCACTTTACAGACATATAAAACCCGGATATCATTCAAGTCTAAATGGAGAGAAAAAAAATGATTAAAAAAAAAAAAAACTGCAGAAGGATATTCCTTTATAAGCAGCAGAGGTTGACCGTAGTTTTCTCCTCCGGCGTGCAAAATATTGTGTTTCTAAGCCATGCTTGGACTTTCTACAAGGTCATTCACAAGTTTCACGTCAAACCCATCTCCTCCTTCAGAGGATTCTTCCGGTGAGGTCTCGTGGGCAACCCGTTTGAGATGTCCCAGAAAAAGAGGACCTAGTGCTGGTTGAATAGGATGCTGATGATGGTGGTGGTGGGGTGAGGAGGGTCTGATTTTCACCCCTTAGTGTCCATCTTTGATGTGCTCCGATTTATCCGAGGTCAGGAGAACCTTCAGTTGCAGTTCGTCTTCTTCGTTGGGTTTTGATCTTGAGAAGAAAAGGTTGGAGAGAAATAATTCATAGAAGGAGAAACCATCAGAGATGACACAATGTTCCTCAACCTAGATGACCTGCAAGGTCCCTTCCAACTCTCTTAATCTATGTCAGGGGTCTGCAACCTCAAACACTCAAAGAGCCATTTGGACCCGTTTCCCACAGAAAAGAAAACACCGGGAGTCACAAAAACTTTCCCGTGCCTGATTATTTCTTCAGCGGCCACAAAACTAGCATATGTAGTTGAATTAAACGTTCCATTTTCTTCTGAAACTTTTTCTTGGATTTATCTATGGTTGGCCTACCGGGGGTTGAAAAGCTCAATAAATCATATGCCGGCGGGTGTCGCACGTTGGTGGTTGTGATGCATATTTTTGAGTGACGAGCCGCAGCAGAGGGGTGAAAGAGCCACATGCGGCTCCAGAGCCGCAGGTTGCTGACCCCTGATCTATGTTATCAAACCTTGCCCACTTGCAGATGTGTGGACTTCAACTCCCAGAATTCCCCAGCCAGCCATGCTATGCTATGCTTAAAAAATGCATAAAAATGCGTTTTTCCCTTAAAAAATGGGGGGAAAGAAACAACCTCCCCCCCCCCAATAGCACAACCTCCATCCCTGATGCGACCACCACCCATTTCCTCTCTCCCCCAAAGTCACCCCTTCCTATCTGGGGAGCCCCAACCCCTTTCTTCCCCCAAGGAGCTTTTCCCGCGATCGGAGAAACCTGTTCGGTATACCCACCGTCTTTCGACTTGTTCAATCGTCTCGGGCAACGGTACATTCCGGGTCTCCGGAAGGAAGCAGGTGACGATGCCAGACAGGATGGGGGCCGCGCCGTAGATGATCAGGGGCAGTGGTGGGAAAAACTCCCCGCTCATCCTCACCAAGGGGGCCGCCATGCTCCCGATCCGAGCCATGGTGCCCCCCAGGCCCATTCCAGATTGCCTGTTAGGGAGAAAGGATGCATTAAACCTTGAATCCGGGCTGACTTGGCTTTTCCAGCCCCTCTTCAGAGGGGATCAGGTGCAGCCTTGTCAAAAAAGTCAAGATGGCAGGCTTGAGTGTACCATCAAAGCACCCATCCTTCTTTTATATGCATGGTGGGTGCAATCTGATGCTTTGTGTTTGCCATCTTGACTTTTTTGCCCATCCTGGGGGTGGTGCGGTCAGGAATTTTATATATATATAATAACAGAGTTGGAAGGGACCTTGGAGGTCTTCTAGTCCAACCCCCTGCTTAGGCAGGAAACCCTACACCACTTCAGACAAATGATTGTCCAACCTCTTCTTAAAAACTTCCAGTGTTGGAGCATTCACAACTTCTGCAGGCAAGTTGTTCCACTGATTAATTGTTCTCACTGTCAGGAAATTTCTCCTTAGTTCTAAGTTGCTTCTCTCCTTGGTTAGTTTCCACCCATTGCTTCGTGTCCTGCCCTCAGGGGCTTTGGAGAATAGATTGATGCACCTGGCTTTGCTCACCTGATTATGGTTGGGAAAAGTTCTCCAGAAAAGATGTAGGCACAGTTGAACGAAGCAGCCAAAGACCCCTTGCCAACCACGGCAAATATCATCCTTAGAGTGCTCAAATCTAAGAAGAGAAGAAACCAGGGGTGAAATCCAGCAGGTTCTGACAGGTTCTGAAGAACCAGTAGCGGAAATTTTGAGTAGTTCGGAGAACCAGCAAATACCACCTCTGGCTGGCCCTAGAGTGGGGTGGGAATGGAGATTTTGCAATATCCTTCCCCCAGGAGTGGGGAGGGAATGGGGATTTTGCAGTATCCTTCCCCCAGAAGTGGGGAGGGAATGGAGATTTTGCAATATCCTTCCCCCAGGAGTGGGGAGGGAATGGGGATTTTGCAGTATCCTTCCCCTGCCATGCCCATCAAGCCACACCCACAGAACCGGTACTAAAAAAATTTGGATTTTTTTTTTTAATTTGATTTATATGCCGCCCTTCTCCGGAGACTCAGGGGGGCTTACAATGCGTTAAGCAATAGCCTTCATACTTTTGTATATTTATACAAAGTCAGTTTATTGCCCCCATAATCTGGGTCCTCATTTTATCTACCTTAGAAAGGATGGAAGGCTGAGTCAACCTTGAGCCTGGTGAGATTTGAACTTGCAGTAATTGCAGGCAGCAGATGTAAGTGGATGTTAATAACAGTGCTTTAGTCTGCTGAGCCACCAGAGCTCCTTGCCAGAAATCCTGGCAGTGGATTTCACCACTGCCAGGATCTATTTTGCTAAGTGAGAAATTTGTCTATTTGGTCCCATACAACGACTTTTCTTGCCGCATTTGTTAAGGGAATCCCCGCACTTGATTAACAGTGTAGATTAACAGTCACAGAGTTGGAAGGGACCTTGGAGGACATCTAGTCCAACCCCCTGCTCATGCAGGACACGTATACTAGGGATTCGAACCGCCGAACTGCCGACCTTCCTGATCGACAAACTCAGCGCCTTAGCCGCTGAGCCACCTAGCCAGACTTGTCAAATCAGTCCCACGGTCGGGAAGTGGATCTGTCTACTCCTGGGGGTATCCTTACCTTGCGGCACGAAGATGTTGCCCAAGATGCAGAGTCCAGCCATGATCAGCGAGAGCGCTTGGGAGAACCGTCGGCCCACGTACATGATGGTGATCACCGAGATGAACTTGGAAGGGATGTCGACGACCCCAAACACCAGCTGGGCCAGGTAGATGTTGAAGTTGAAATTCTGCAGGTCCATGGCCAGCCCATAATAAGCGAAGCTGGTGGCAAACCTAGAAGGGGAAGAGAGAATTGGAAAGCTTGACCCCCACTCAAAAAAGCCATTATTTTCTGGGGGGAAAATCTAGATCCCTTTTCCCCTAGGGATCCTAGAATCGTAGAGCTGAAAGGGACCTGAGAGGTCTTCTAGTCCAACCCTTGCCCAAGGCAGGGGACTTTAAACCATCCCAGTCAAATAGCTGTCCAGTATTTTTGAAAATCTCCAATGATGGAGCACCTCAAAACTTCTAGAAGCAGGATGTTCCACTGGTTAATTGTTCTCACTGTCAATCAATTAATCAATCAATCAATCAGAAAAGAGTTGGAATGGACCTTGGAGGTCTTCTAGTCCAACCCTCTGCTTAGGCAGGAAGCCCTACACCACTTCAGACAAATGGTTATCCAACAACGTCCAGTGTTGGAGCATTTACAATTTCTGGAGGCAAGTTGTTCCACTGATTAATTGTTCTGTCAGGAAATTTCTCTTTAGTTCTAAGTTGCTTCTCTCCTTGATTAGTTTCCACCCATTGCTTCTTGTCCTGCCCTCGGGGGCTTTGGAGAATAGCTTGACTCCCTCTTCTTTGGGGCAGCCCCTCAAATATTGGAAGACTGCTATCCTGTCTCCCCTAGTCCTTCTTCTCATCAGACTAGAAATACCCAGTTCCTGCAACCGTTCTTCATATATTTTAGCCTCCAGTCCCCTAATCATCTTTGTTTTTGTTCCAAACGTGCTTTTCCAAATTGGACTCTTTTGAAGACAGCAAAGTCCACATTTTGGATGGAGAGGGACCACTGGTTTGAAAGAGGGGTCAAAGAGGCCACCTGTATCCAAATTGAACAGACCTCTCCCCACAGAGGGGGAAGGGGGATATGGCATCAGCTATCTCCAGTCTTCACTGTCCTTTCAACAGTTCCAAGAAGGCTCCGCACCCATTTTGCACCACTCAGGTGGACCCTGAGGACACAGAGAAACCTCCAAGGGGCCTCAACGACCCTTGAAAAGGATGCAGAGAACCAGCTGTCTGCAAGGAGGATCAATCCTTCCCAGTGCTGAAATTCAATTTTTTTTTTACTACCAGTTCTGTGGGCGTGGCTTGGTGGGCGTGGCAGGGGAAGGATACTGCAAAATCTCCATTCCCTCCCCACTCTGGGACCAGCCAGAGGTGGTATTTGCCGGTTCTCCGAACTACTCAAAATTTCCCCTACCGGTTCTCCGAACTACTCAAAATTTCCCCTACCTGTTCTCCGAACTACTCAAAATTTCCCCTACCTGTTTTCCGAACTACTCAAAGTTTCCCCTACCTGTTCTCCGAACTACTCAAAATTTCCCCTACCTGTTTTCCGAACTACTCAAAGTTTCCCCTACCGGTTCTCCAAACTACTCAAAATTTCCCCTACCGGTTCTCCGAACTACTCAAAATTTCCCCTACCGGTTCTCCAGAACCTGTCAGAACCTGCTGGATTTCACCCCTGATCCTTTCCTTCCCCACCATCCAGTCAGAGCTGAAGAAGCTTCTGGGATGAGAAGCAAAACGTCTTCAAAAGAAAAAAGCAAGAAAGTCCAGTGGCCTCCTGAAAAAAAGCACTTTTGGGACAACCTTGACCTGGATGATGGAGAATCTCTACAGATTTTTAGCTATACAATTTGGGATGGACACCCTTGGAACGGTGTGGGAGGAGGAATGGATTTCCAGAGGGAAAAAATTTGCAGAGTACAGGAACCATTTGCACCACTCTGGTGATCCCGAGGACACAGATAAACCTCCCAAGTGGCCTCAACGGCCTTCTAAAAAGGATGCAAATGACCAACTGTCTGCAAGGAATATCAATCCTTCCATTCCCCACCATCCAGTCAGAGCTGAAGAAGCTTCTTGGGATGAGAAGCGAAACGTCTTCAAAGAAAAAACCAGAAAGTCCAGTTGCCTCTTGAAAAAAGAACCTTTGGGACAACCACGACTTGGGTGATGGAGAATCTCCATATAAACATCTTTGTTGTTCTTTTCTGCACACGTCTCGTTCTTCTCTTAGGGACTCAGCCTCTTTTGAGGTACCTTGGTGACCAGAGCTGGACGCCGTACTCCCAATGTAGAATACAACCCGGTTTGACGGAAAAGAAACCGCCGTTCCGGAAAAAGCAGGGGAGCACGGAAGGAAACCTCTCTTACCAAAAGAAGCTGACCCCAAAGGAAATGCGACGCATTCCCGGCGTCCGCACCAGATCGGCCATGCTGTGTCTGGATTTGGTGGAAGAACCCTCTGCCTGCATGCTGCTTTTCAAAACCTGCGGAGAAGGAGAAGACAACTCAACGGGTCAGTGCAAGATTTTGCCCACCCGCTCGATGAGCAAAATGAACTGGGAGAATTTGGGGGGGACGAGAAACGGCCAATTGTTCGTCTAAAGGTTTGCTATCCAGTGGTGGGATTCAAATAATTTAACAACCGGTTCTCTGCCCTAATGACCGGCTGGGAGGGCATGGCCATGGTGGGCGTGGCCAGGGGTGTGTGACAGGCAGCACTCGGCCTCCTGCATCTCCCCCGGGAGCGAAAACGGGCTGCGAGGGGACGGACCTCCCACTCGCACCCCGTTTTGGGCCTAGTAGGCCTCCCTGCAGCCTCCTGGTAGCGAAAACGGACGTGGAGGGGGGATGCAACACCCCCCCACCGTGGCCCATTTTGGGCTTAGGAGGCCTCCCTGCACTTACCTGGGAGCCAAAATGGTGCGCGTGGGGACTCCTGGAAGGGGCGGGGTGCAGAGGTGGGTTTCAGCAGATTCTGACCAGTACCGGTTCTGGAGAACCGGTAGCAGAAATTTGGAGTAGTTCGGAGAACCGGTAGTAAAAATTCTGACTGGCCCTGCCCCCATCTATTCTTTGCCTCCCAAGTCCCAGCTGATCAGGAGGAAATGGGGATTTTGCAGTAACCTTCCCCTGGAGGGGGAGGGAATGGAGATTTTACAGAATCCTTCCCCTGCCACGCCCACCAAGCCACACCCACAGAACCGGTAGTAAAAATTTTTGAAACCCACCACTGGCGGGGTGGGAAGGGGTGGGGCCAGCCAGCAATTTAACTACCAGCACGAACCGGCTGAATCCTACCACTGCTGCTATCCTATCATAATGTCTTTGTTGCTCTTCTACAAGATTGGGGAAACCTTCCTCCGGAGCACAAGAGAGCTGATAGAATCACAGAATCATATAATAATGAGTTAGGAAGGGACCCTGGAGGTCCGAAGACGTCTCCGTGGTCACGTGGCCGGCATGACTCAACGCCGAAGGCGCACGGAACGCTGTTCCCTTCCCACCAAAGGTGGTCCCTATTTTTCTACTTGCATTTTTTACCTGCTTTTGAACTGCTAGGTTGGCAGAAGCTGAGACAAGTCACGGGAGCTCACCCCTTTACGCGGCACCAGGGATTCGAACCGCTGAACTGCCAACCTTTCAATCGGCAAGCTCAGCATCTTAGCCACTGAGCCACCATGTCCCTCTTAAAATTAAATATGTGTTACCTTTATTATAGTTTCCCGAAAACTATACCCTTCTCGATTTTGCATTGTAGGGCCATCTCTCGTAAAAATTCATACCCCGGCTTTTGAAAATACAGAATATCCCAGTTTTTATTGCATTTTGCAAAAAAAATAAATAAAGAGGGGAGGATTTCAGATGGAATAACGGGGCCTCGTACCTCTACGCTGAGTTTATTCCCCTCTTCCTTCTTCCCGTTAATCCAGGCCGCCTTCTTCAGCCCTCTCACAGCCTTCTCCTGGTTCCCCGAAATGGCCAGCCAGCGGGCGGATTCGACGAAAAACCTGCGGTCAAGAAGGTGATTTTTGCAGCTCTCAGATAGCCCTGATACCTAGTGGTTAGAGCTGGGCCTCGGAAAAGAGGATGGGAATTTAAGAGTGAACGGAGGGATTCAGATGGAAGGCAGAAATTTGGGAGACGGGAATTTGCAAGGGAGATGCAACTAAACCTCCTTAAAAGGGTCGTTGGAGAGCTGGCTGTGAGTTCTAATCCTGCTTTAGGCATAAAAATTGGAAGGTTACATTGGGCCAAACACCAGGAGATGATGAGCCTGATTAGCCATTTTTCAGGCTGTTTTCAGGCCAGTTTTTGGCAGTTTTTTGGCCGTTTTCGGGGTGTTTTTCAGGCCTGAAAAATGGCCCTAAAATTCCCTAAAAATGGCCTGGAAAATGACCTGTTTTTTGGCCATTTTCAGGCCAGTTTTCAGGCTGGTTTTTTTACCATTTTTTGGGTGTTTTCGGGGCATTTTTCAGGCCTGAAAATAGCCTGTGTCTTGGCCATTTTTCAGGTTGTTTTCAGGCTGTTTTTGGGCTGTTTTGGGGCGTTTTCAGGGCATTTTTCAGGCGTCAAAAATGGCCCAAAAATTCCCTAAAAATGGCCTGGAAAATGACCTTTTTTGGGGCTATTTTCACGCCAGTTTTCAGGCTGGTTTTTTTTACCGTTTTTTGGGTGTTTTTCAGGCCCGGAAACGGCCTGTTTCTTGGCCATTTTTCAGGCTATTTTCAGGCCATTTTCTGGCATGCCAGCACCTGCAATAACCAGCTGGCTGGCACACCGGATACCAGAAGAGCAGCTGGCAACGGCACACGTGCCCACAGAGAGGGCTCTGCCATAGGTTTGCCATCACGGCCCTACACCATTTCTGACAGATGACAGTCCGGTCTCTTCTTGAAAGCTTCCAGTAGGAACCTACCAGGAGTAGAGGAAGAAGACGAAGTAAGGGAGGGAGACGGCCAGCTGCAGCCAGCGCCAGTCGCGGATGAGATACGCCATGCCAGCCAGGATGAACTGCCCAGTTGTGTAGCTGTAACCGTTGATCGTGCCAACGATGGCCCGGTATTTGCTGGGAATCCATTCCATGCCTGTAAAAAAAAAAAAAGACGCAGCGTAAAATACTGCAGGCAGTCCTCGACTGATGACGCCAAAATTTTCTGTTGCTAAGCGAGACAGTCGCTAAGTGAGTTTGCCTTCATTTTATCCACTTCCTTTGGAGAATAGCTTGACTGACTCCCTCTTTTTTGGGGCAGCCCCTGAGATATTGGAAGACTGCTATCATGTCTCCCCTGGTCCTTCTCTTCATCAAACTAGACATACCCAGTTCCTGCAACCGTTCTTCCTATGTTTTAGCCTCCAGTCCCCTAATCCTCTTGGTTGCTCTTCTCTGCACTCTTTCCAGAGTCTCCACATCTTTTTTTACATCGTGGCAACCAAAACTGGATGCCGTATTCCAAGTGTGGCCTTTCCAAGGCCTTATAAAGTGGTATTAACCCTTCACGTGATCTTGATTCTATCTCTCTGTTTATGCAGCCCAGAACTGCGTTGGGTTTTTCTACAGCTGCAGCACAAGGCTGGCTCCTATTTAAATGGTTGTCCACTAAGACTCCAAGATCCCTCTCACAGTTACTACTATTGAGCCAGGTAGCCCATATACTGTACCTATACCATATAATGTATGTAGTGAGTAATTTTCTGGTGTGCCACACAACAACTGCTGCATCTCATGTTCTGCCACAGACCCCTCCCCCCCAAAAAAAAGATTGAGGAAGGAAAAAGGAAAAACTTACTTTGCAAAACAGAGCAAAATTATTAAGGAAGGAAGGAAGGAAAGAAGGAAAGAAAGAGAAAGAGAAAGAAAGAAGAAAGAAAGATGAAGAAAGAAAAAGGTAAAGGAAAGAAAGAAAGGAAGAAAAAAGGTAAAGCAAAGAAAGAAAGGTAAAGGAAAGAAAGAAAGAAAAGAAAGAAAGTAAAAAAGAAAAAGGTAAAGGAAAGAAAGAAAGGAAGGAAGAAAGAAAAAGGAAAGAAAGAAAGAAAAAGAAAGGAAGAAAGAATAAGATAAAGGAAAGGAAGGAAGGAAGGAAGGAAGGAAGGAAGGAAAAACGTAAAGCAAAGAAAGAACGGTAAAGGAAAGAAAGAAAGATGTAAAGGAAAGAAAGGAAGGAAGAAAGAAAGAGGAAGAGAAAAAGGTAAAGGAAAGAAAGGAAGAAGAAAAAGAAAAAAGAAGAAAAGCAAAGAAAGAAAGGTAAAGGAAAGAAAGAAAGAAGAAAAAGAAAGAAAGTAAAAAAGGAAAAGGAAAAGGAAGGAAGGAAGAAAGAAAAAGGAAAGAAAGAAAGAAAGAAAAAAAGAGGAAGAAAGAAAAAGATGAAGGAAGGAAGGAAGAAAAAAACATAAAGGAAAGAAAGAAAGATGTAAAGGAAAGGAAGGAAGGAAGGAAGGATTTGGGGGCTTTGACCAGTGGGGAAGAGAGAGACGCTCGAGACTCACAGAGAGAAACTGAGTTGAGGGAAATGCCGGACATGGCCATGCCACACAGAAAACGGAGGACGCAATAGATGGTGAAGTTGGGCACAAAGGCCGTGCCAGCTCCGGCCACCCCCATCTGCAGGTAGCACCAAATGATCAGGGATCTCCTGCCAAACCTGTAAGAAACAGACGTTAGAATCACCTTTCAGTCTGCACCCGAGGATTTTTGCTTTTACGGGGGGGAGGTTCGTTTAATGACCGTTCAAAGTTACAACGGCGCTCCCAAAAGGGACTCATGATCGTTTTCACGACCGTTGCAGGTTACGTTACTTTTTTTTAAAAAAAACCCGGATGTTTGGCAATCGACTCATATTTACGACCGTTGCAGCATCCTTGTGGTCACATGATCAAAATTCGGATGCTTGGCAACTGATTTATATTTACGACCGTTGCAGCGTCCCGGGGGGGGGGGGAGTGTGGTCACGTGATCCCCATTTGCAACCTTCTGACACGCAAAGTCAATGGGGAAGCCCGATTCACTTAACAACCTTAACAAAGAACTCTCCCCCCCACACACTCTTTACAGCTTGAGAAACTAGGGAGGGTCCCTTCTGAGCCTCTTTTTACATGCATTATGCTGCTGAGGGCTCAACTTGGATGGGATTCAGCCGGTTCGGATCAGTTCAGGTGAATCGGATGTTAATTTTAATCTGGTTCACCGAACTGGTTGTTGCAATGACTGGCTGACTCACCCCACCCCACCCCTCCCAGGAGTCTCCACGCAGCCCGTTTTGGATGCAGGGGCTGCGCGGAGGCTCTGGGAGGGCGAAAAACAGGCCAACCGGAAGTACCAGAAGTCCGAAAACCAGCCCATTTTCTGTCCTCTAAAGGGCCTCCAGAGCCTGGGGGAGGCTGTTTTCACCCTCCCGGAGGCTCGAGGAAAGCCTCCGGAGTCTGGGGAGGGTGAAAACGCTCCTCCCCACATGGTGCAGGAGGCCGAGTAGGCCACACCCACCATGGCCATACGCACCCAGCAACTGGGCAGAGAACCGGTTGCTAACATTTCTGAATCCCACCCCTTGCTCAGCTGCCTCTTATCTGACTGTTCCCCCGGCAGCATCTCTCTGCCTGCCTCCCAAGGCCTTCCCCACATACCATTACACACCCGCTCCTAGTCCATAACACTAACCCCTACACCAGGCTGCCTCTCAATGCTCACCTGTCCGAGAGATTTCCGATTAGGAGCGATCCAATCAACACGCCAGCCATGTAAAGGGATTGAGCCATTTGCCTCAGGGACCGAGATTCGCACACTAGATTCCACTGGAAAATAATTTTGGGGAGGGAAGGTTGCAGGGAAGAGAAAACCAAAACTATTGAGAATTTTTGCGGATCTCAAGTCCCACCTGATCTCAGGCCTCATGAAATGCTGGCTGGGGGATTCTGGGAGTGGAAGTCCACCCATCTTAAAGCATGCTGGCTGGGGGATTCTGGGAGTTGAGGTCCATCCATCTGAAAGCATGCTGGCTGGGGGATTCTGGGAGTTGAGGTCCATCCATCTGAAAGCATGCTGGCTGGGGGATTCTGGGAGTTGAAGTCCACCCATCTTAAAGCATGCTAGTTGGGGAATTCTGGGAGCTGAAGTCCAGCCATCTTAAAGCATGGTGGCTGGGGGATTCTGGGAGCGGAAGTCCATCCATCTTAAAGCATGATGGCTGGGGAATTCTGGGAGTTGAAGTCCACCCATCTTAAAGCATGATGGCTGGGGAATTCTGGGAGTTGAAGTCCACCCATCTTAAAGCATGATGGCTGGGGAATTCTGGAAGTGGAAGTCCACCCATCTTAAAGCAGGCTAGCTGGGGGATTCTGGGAGTTGACGTTCACCCATCTTTAAGCATGCTGGCTGGGGGATTTTGGGAGTTGAAGCCCACCCATCTTGAATTTGCTAAACACTCCTCTAAGATAGTTAAACTTTTCTCATCCCTTTAAAATCGAAAAACAGTTTCTTTCTCACCTCACTGACAATCGTGTTGCTGAACACGCTCCGGTCGTAAGTCCATCCATCTTCACAGGCTTCAGTGTCGAATACCGTCTCGTTGCTATGAGTCACATTCGGGTCCAGGAAGCGCCACTGCGGGGCCGCGAAACGCCGGCATTGCTCGGGCCGTCGCTTCCCGTCCGTTGGGATGGAGATCCTGAGGAGCTGATCGGCTCTCAAGTTTCCCACGGTGCCGTTGCCTTGACGAGTGGCGTTGGACGCGATGCGGATCTGGCAGTGATGCTGCGGGATGCCGGCGGTGAAGTTTTGCAAGAGGTTGTGACTGGCCAGCATCAACAGTGGGATGGCTAGGAAGCTGACCATCATCCTTTGGAAGCGGCCCATTCCTCCCACATTGTCCAAAATATCGGCAAAAGTCATGGCGTCGCAGAAAGAGGAGACGGATGGTGTCTGTGTCTGGAAATTTATAACCTTATAATCGCTAGCAAAACAATGGACGGCTCCTTGGGGCCAGTCAAATCAATCAAGGCAATCTCAATTCTGCAGCTTTTCTGCTGTTTTCCCAACAAATATCTTTTCGGCCCCACGCTTTTGGGGGAGGCCCATCCGGCTTTATATAAAACTTCAGCGGGGCTAGTTAAAATGTTACTGGGAGGGAAAATTTCCTCCCCAGCGGTGTGAATAGCCAGAGAGGTTACGAATGGAATAAGAAAACAAGTGAACTGGAAAATGAACTTAATATTGCGTCATTGGGCAAGGGATAAACAAGATGGTGGAGGGATTTGAGAGTCACTGAAAACTGGCTGTATTTTTCCTCTGAGGAACCCCTCAATGGGGCAGCCCTCTATATCCCCCCCACTCTCCACCAAGAAATACGCCAGATC